CAATCCCATCTCAAAGGCAGTGCACCCCTCCTGAAGTTTCACTGCCCTGTGAAGACAGCCATGGCCTCAATAACAGGTTTCCCAGCAGAAGTCAAGGCTGTTCGAGATCAGCTGCAAATCAACACACTCCAGTGGCCTTGATGAGCTTGCTTCCCTCACCAGGGTCACTGACCATGAGATAGCAACAGCAGTGTTGACAAAGCTTCCCCCATGGACGGAGCGCTGGTTGCTGGCACCGGAGAGGAGGAGCAGCCTCGCAGGAACAGCGCTCACAGCAACAATGACATCACCACGGCAGATCTCCACCGAGCAGAAAATGCAGCAGCACGCTGGGCTCGGGAGCTGCATCCCCAGGAACAGAGAGCAAAAGCAACAAGCACGCTGGAAGGCAGAGACCAGCCATGTGACAGAGGGGTATCCCTTCACCACCTGCTATTTCTGAGCAGCACATGTGCAGTCACTGACCTTGGGCATTCATTCGCAAGTTTTATTCAAGGTGCATTTAAAGAGAAATAGGATCTTCAACACAGCCAGTAACTGCAGAACAGAACATGGTATATTAACTATTGTCATTCGATTAATTATCCACACCTAATTCAGTTCTGAGATGCACAGCTCCCGTTTGGACTGTTGCTGCAGAGTGTGACCCTTTTATCCTCACAATCTCCTCTCACAACTACTTCTGAAGGCAGACTGTTATACAGCAACTACAAAGGATCGTTTTAGGAAGCTGCAGGGGGAAGCCAACTCAACTCTAACTCATCAGGCAATTAAACTGCAATTATCAAGACAATGCTGTGCAAGTATGAAGCACTTTAGTATCTGAAGGACGCAAGATTGCTGTCAGACAAGCAGCACCCAGGCAGCTTGTGCCCAGCCAAGTTCAGCATCTAGGCGAAGTCTTATCTGGACTACCTTCTGTTGAGGCAACAAGCTTTAAACTACACTACAGCTCTGCAAGAAATTCGTAGGTCCATCAGGCCCTAGTAACAAGGGCTTAAGAGTAGGTCAGGTCACAGCTGAGAAGTCCAGAAGACATAATGGAACATTGCAGCGCACAAGGTGAGGGTTCTGTAGTTGTTTATCAAACGCCCAATTTACTTCAGTTACTGAAGAAATTGCTGTATTATAACAACAGGGACAGGAACCAGTAAGTACCTGTGAGCCCATATCAGCCACCAGTTTTAGAGAATGCAAACATCCAAGCATCCTATTTCATAGCTCTTATTCTCAAGCTAGGGTTTACCAGGCAGTCTCACGATGCAGCATTTAAAAAACACACCCTAATCAAGTATAGGCAATTTTGTTTACAGCCAAATGTTAAGTTCTGCATAAACTAGTCTCATTTTCACATAGAAGTCAGACCAAAATCTCATACATGTTAGAGACAGAGTTATTTATAGTTTTGCACAGATGGATTGATTGTAACTGTCATGTTTCCTCAAGGACAAGCTTTGCCAGAGATTTGCTCCAACAGGTAATTCACACGACCTTCCAACACAAGAGTCTTACAACAGGAGCTTTAAGAAGGTGCTGCAGAAATTGAATCTGAGAACCCTCCTGCCCTCAAGCACTCATTTTGGGTAGTAAACCAAACAAAGCAGTATATTCCCAAGTCACTTGAGAGCAGAGCTTGTACATTTTCCACTTTCAGTTAAGGATTCAGTGTCGTAACATGTCCGTGCTACTCAAAGAGTTTGATTCCCTGGCTTTAGCAGGAGGGTCAGGATGGCTGTAGTGCAGTGTCTGCTACACAGTTATTAAAATTCTTAGCTTGGCACCTTCAAGGTACAACTCCTGGGGTGCCACGTTCTCCATCTCTTCTCCCTGGTGACCAGTGACAGAACCCGAGGGAAGAGCATGAAGCTGTATCAGGGGGGCTTAGGTTGGATACTGGGAAAAGGTTCTTCACCCAGAGGGTGACTGGGCACTGGAACACGCTCCTCAGGAAAATGGTCACAGCACCAAGGCTACCAGAGCTCAAGAAGTGTTTGGACAACACTCTCAGGCACGTGGTGGGATTGCTAGGGTTGTCCTGTACAGGACTAAGAACTGGACTTGATGATCCTTGTGAGACTCTTCTAACTCAGGACATTCTGTGATTCTGTGCTGAACTATCATTAGGGTATTTGAGGACAGGGACCACTGCATGATATCACAGGGAAGAAGAAAGTTAAACATAGCTACTGCTGTGCATCTTATCAGTTATACTTCTCACTGCAGCCTGGGAGAGCAAGAAACCGCTACTGGATTTTAAAAGTTTTCCTTATTGAGGGGTCAGATTAACCCCATCTCACAGCTTTTCTACACCAGAAGTAAAGTATTAACAGCAACACAAAGGAAAAAAAAATAAGGCAGTGATTGAAAGTAACAGTATTAGAGCTGCTCTAATTCTGAGGACTCCAGCCAGGCATGGTGGGTCCACTCATTAGTGCATGGAGGGCCAGTCATGTGTTCAGTCAGCTGTTGGGAGTCACAAGGGGGAGGGGGAGAGACAAGTATACTTGTTCTTCCTGAGCAAGAGAGCCCTGATTATTTAACAGGGAATATTCAAATGACTCCACCCACTTTAACCTCAAATTCAGCTCCTGAGAGAGCAGAGTATGTTGACTCCAGCAGCCTGGCTCTACTGGAAGCACAGCCAGGATACAGCTCCCATCACACAATACTGGTACCACCACAGCCTTCAAGTCATAGCCAGCCAAATACCATGGCATAGCTGGTTATGTACCACTCCCCTAAAAAGAGAACTCTCCACTTCCCCAAGCCACAGTTCCCACACGGATATACAAAGTGTTAGGCACAGGCCAAAGCTAGCCAGCCAGTGGCAAGTGCTGAAAGCTTTAAGGCTTCCATATTGGCAAGTGTCAAACAAAGAACAGCTTGCTTACAGTTGGGAGGACTTTGTTCCGTCATGTGTTCTCAGTTTACATACAAAAACCTCATACACGCGTATCACAACAGCTCTGTCTATCAGCAAATATTTTTAGTTTTCAGGGAGAATTCCAGCTTCGACTCAAAAGGTTTGGAGACACTAGGCAAGACGTACTCATTTGGATGCTGAGGTTACCTCTCTTCGGATTAAGACAGCCCTTTCACTACTAAAATAATCCCTTTATTTACAGGGAGGGTAGTGCAGTTGTCCTCAGCACAACCATTAGGCATTTCCATAATTATTTGTCTATATATACCTGGAGACTAATAACGCAACTACCACTTAATTTACCTTCTTATACACTCACAGCCAAAAGCACTTCCAACATCCACTCCAATACTTCTCCGGACTGACTCAGGTTTACACGCACCAACAGCCACTTTCGCAATAACTGCCAGTCCCCTCGGCCGCCTGCTCGGTCACATTAATCGCTCCCAGGACCACCGGCTCATCCTAAAAGCGACACCCACCGACCCCCAGAGCAGCGTTTCACCGCCCCGGCCCAGCGCCCCCCCAAAGCCTCCCCAGGCTCCGCGAGGAGATACGGCAGCACCGCACGGCTCAGACAATGCGCTCCCTCCCCGGGAGGCACCGCTCGGGCCGCCGCGAGCCCATCAGGCAGAGGAGGCTCCACAAAGCGCTGGTGAAACGCGCATCCCGGGAGAGGCCCGCGGGGAGGGGCCGCTTCCCGGGGAGACCCCCCTGCATTGTCCCGGGGGCGCGCCAGGCCCAGCCCCGGGGAGTTCGGTGGTGGGGGGAGGCAAACGGGCCGGGCCGTGGTGCGGAGCCCGCCGGGAGCACCGAGACAGCGCCGAGACCGCGCCACCGCCCCGCCGGGGCCGGGCCGCCAGCGGCGCCCCCCGCCCGGGGCGGAGCCGCCCCTGCCCCCCCGTCGCCGGCGTAGCCGTGCAGGGCCCCCCCCGTGCCGCCCGGTCCCCGCGGGCTCACCTGGTGCTGCCGCCGCGGCCCGGCCCGATCGCTGCCCCCCGCCCGCCTCGTCCGCTTTAATGGGCCCCGCCGCCCCCCGCGCCCGCTTCCGCCTCCCCGCCGGCTTCCGATCACGGGGCCGCGCCGTCACCGCCGCCCGCCACACGTGACCGCGCGGCCCGCCCGCCATCTCGCGCCCTGTGCGGGGCGCGGGCCCCGCCGGAGCCCGTCGCTGTGCTTACTGCGAAATAAATGTTTATAGTGCTGTCCAGAGGGGGTGGGCGGGAAGGGACCTGCCTCCTCCGCGGCCTCCGATCGCACGAGGGCAGCGAACACCACGCCCCGGGCGGAGGGGAGCAGGAAGGGGCTGGGGAAACCTTCACGTTTTCCGAAATAAAAGATGGGGACACAAGGGCGCGAATCTGTCCTTTGGTCTTCTCTGGAAGGTGTTGAAGAAATAGCAGGCAACTGCCTGCCTCTGCGGTTAAATTAGTATGTGGGGGGAAAAGCGTCCTCAGTGAGGGCTATTAGAAATAAAGAGGTTATATTTTAGAATATATATATATATATTTAATCTCAGCTGCGGTCTGGAGTGGGATAGTAGCAACAGTATTTGTCAGGAAAGAAGATGAAAGTAAAAAGATGTCAATTGAAGACACATTGAGGTTGCTTATTCAGATCAATAGTGCAAGCAAGTAAAATGGGACTGTGTAAACTCTCCGGATCTTAGTCCATGGGGTAACAACAATCCTGGTGGTACAAGGTTAAATCCATATTTTCTACTCTGTTGACAGTGAGTTTGTTATTCACCAAATACTTGAATATTTTCATGCATTCATCCAGCTTGTGACTGTTGTGGGTTTAGGTAACCCATGAACTCAGGAGAGCAACCAAGGAAAAAGAAGCATTTTTAAAGCTAATGAAAGAGATAAAAGGACCAAAGCTACTTATAGCAACACTAAAAAGAAAATCACAGAATCATTAGGGTTGTAAGTGACCTCTGGAGATCATCCAGTCCAACCCCCTTGCTAAGGCAGGGTCACCTGGAGCAGGTGACACAGGAACATGTCCAGGTGGGCTTAGAACATCTCCAGAGAGGGAGACTCCATGACCTCCCTGGGCAGCTGTTCCAGTGCTCTGCCACCCTCAATGTACAGAAGTCCTTCCTCATGTTGAGGTGTAACTTCTTGTGTTGTAGTTTATGGCCATTGCTCATCATCCTGTTGCTGGGCACGACCAAAAAGAGTCCGGCACCATCCTCTTCGTACTCACTTTTGAGATATTTATATGCATTAATGAGATCCCCTCTCAGTCTTCTCTTCTCCAGACTAAACAGGCCCAGCTCCCATAGCCTCTCCTCATCAGAGAGATGCTCCAGACCCCAGAGAAGGGAACTTGAAACATCTAGTTTGTTAGTGCTTTTAAAGGTGTCCCATTAGATGCAAAATGCTGTAGAAGAACCTGGTACCAGTTAAAACATGGAGTGGACAAAAGAGGAAAAGCTTTGATTAGTGAAATGATGGAGAAAACCCTCCCAAACACACATGGTTTCTTTGGATGGGGAGGAGGGTACCCTCTCAGTTCAGCCCCAGGACTGGGCCCTGGGCACATCAGCAGCTGAGATTGTCCCAGTCCCTTGCGTTTAACAGGAGAACCACATGCTGGGTTGTTAAAAGCAGTAATTAATAGCAAATTACAGGGTGTTCCTCAGCTCTTTCCCTTTTTTCCTTTCTTTTTTACACAATATGAGAAGCAAACAAAAGCTGTGACTGAAATTTCCTGCTCTACCGCACAGCTATCCTGGCACCACCTATTACAGACCTTTGTTATGCAGAAGATAATTCACACCAAGTTCCTGTGCCCCTTGCTCTTGACGTCACCAACAGCTGTTTTCTGATCCCCTGTTGAAATGCACCATTTTCTTAAGCTGATGAGGCAATATCTTACCTGCCTTGAAGAACACATGAATCCTGGCTCTCGGGAGGATCAATGTCAACCCTGCTATCCAGGCTGGGTACTCATGTCTTGGCACGGATAAGCGTGACATTCACAGTGGCAGAGTGAAAGTAGAAAAACAGTGGTAACAGTGGCAAATGGAAGTATTGAGCTGTGGCTCCTGCAGGGACAGACACACACACACACCTCCCCACCTGCATAAACAGGTGGCCTTGCGGACACCAGAGCTTGGTGCCACCCAGCACACTGATTTTCACTATCCTTCAAAGGAAACTGTGTTTCCTCATCTAACCACTTATTTGAAAATATCAAAACTCAAATGAAAACCCATAAAAATGGATCAATTTGAATCCCTGTGCCAGTCGTTCCATATCACTAACACTGCTCTGAAGAAATCCATTCTCTATCCTTGAAGGACCTTCACACAGGTGAATGGATCTATAGTGACAGGTCTTTAGACATTTACCAGTGCAGAAACCTCAACCTATTTCATGGACTCGTTCCTCTAAACCAGGAAGTAAGAATGTCTCCTGCTTTTTCTTCCCTTTGTGTCATCTAATCTCTATTTACTAATCTTCCTGGTCCAATTAGAGGCAATAAAACATTATATGTCTTACACCACCTCTTTGCTTTTGTCCTTGGACCAAAAGGGCCCCTCCTTTTCCCTTCTCAGTCCATGAGATGACAGAGTGAACAGCAGTACAAAAACACCTGCTAGTTGCTGATTTTGGAAGGGCCTGCAGAGAGGCCTAGGGCAGCACATCACATCACTTTAGCTGTAGCATCTACAAATCCTTGACATGAGCTGTGAACGTCTGACATTCCCTATGGTGCTTAATGCATTCGCCCTCTTCTACAGACACAGTTACCTCACCTCTGGCCATCTCTGACATTAAAAGCTTTGGGAGCTATCATTCCCCTGATACTTCTCCAGCATGTTTCAGCTCTTCAGATGCAGTCCCTCCTCCCCATTGCTGGGCACAACCCTGGGACCCTTCTTTGTCTCTGTGCCCAGAAAGGTATGGCACCAGCCCACAGTCAGAAAACTGAATGTCCAGAGATCCCTGAGTGTAGCTGTCCTCTCTCAGTTGGATGTGCAATGCTTTCCCTCATCACCTTTGGCCTTCCATATCAGCTTCCTCAAATTATTATAATGATTTAGCTTGCTAAAATTATAAAAGGGAACTAAAATGCAGTAAACACGCAAGATCTTGCTTTGGTACACCAAGCTTTGTCATCCTTTATCTTGTCTAAAGCAGATGCCTGCTTCTGCTGGCATTCTGTTCATTACAAATCTGCTATTGCCATGACCATGTATGCATTTCCACCAGCAAGAATACAGCCATAGTCTTTTGCCTGCTCTGTTCCCTAATCCCTGCCTATAGTACAAATACTGCTCTGGTAATCTATGAATGCTTTCACCTTTGCAATCCTCAGGTGATTTCCAGGCAGCAACACATGAAAGCAAAAAGGTAGCTCTGGACAAGACTTGGCCACCAGATACCAACTATGGAAAGCAACTGCAATCACGTTATCTCATGGCAGATCTCCAGTCTGAGGTGGACATTGCACATAGTGCAAGGGATTAACAGCATCTGTGCTCACTGATAAAATGCATCTGTTGGAGGATGAACATCTTAAAGACAAAGCACTGATAAGGGGTCTAAATGCAGCCATTGAAGCCTGAGCCCCACAGAGAGGGTGGGGGCCAACCTGCAGTGCTGCAAAGCCTGATTGTGCCATGTTCCCTCACATCAGACACAGGAGACATGAGCACATAAAGAAAATGGCTTTGGACTCTTTTGACAGCTTCCCCCTGTTCAATAGCAAGAGCCACAAGATCACTGCAGAGTTGTGATCACTTTGATCCAGGGAGGTGGCAATGCCAGCACCTTCCCTCAGCTGACAGCTCTCTCCCTGAGACGTGAAGGTCCAAACCTCTGCTCTGCCTTTGAGTCAGCCTCCTAGAGACTGTGGACAACATGCTGAGCACAAGGGACATCCTTAGACAAGTGTACATGCTGGCCCTGGCAAGACAGGCAGGGAGAAACAACTCCATGGTCATGGTGTAAGATGAGCACCACATAGCTTACCCATTTGGCACCACCATAGTTATCTGGAACCTTGACTGGTGGAAACCAAAGACCCTGGAAAGGTCAAGTGTCACAGGGAAAAGGATGGCCCACAGGTTTTAATGGCCAACACTTGGGCTCAGGCAAAAAGTCGCCCACATCCTCTTTATAACCATAATCCCATGAGGCTGTCACAAAAATAGTGACAATCACCTGAATCCCCTGCAGGTCTCCCAGCTGTCCAGCCTCCTCAGCTACAGAGGTTCCCCAACATCAACACCTTCCCACTTTTACAGATGGTTCTAAATACCAGCTAATTATTTTTTTACAGCCACATTGGAGGTATGCCGGGTAATTTCATATGATTGTTCTCCTACTCAAATGGAGAAGATGATCCAGGGAGTGAAGTAACTTCCCTGAGGCTGGAGTGAGTCAGTTACTTTGTCAGATCTGTGTCCCTCTAAACACAGACATTTCTGAAAGGCTTTTTAAACCATAGGAATGGTATAAAAATAGGTACAGAAAGAGGTGAACAGCCAGCACAGAATTTCATAGGCCTTTGCAGAACTGGCCTTCCTTCAGGGATCAAGGTTTTGTTAAAGCAGTGTGTTACCAAAGCAGCAAGCTCTGCAAGCTGTTACTTACCAAGCACTGAAGCCTTCACAGTGAAGGTCTGGTGAGCCTGAGACCTCTCAGCTTATGACACAAATGACTTTGAAGCCATGGGGACAGGCAGGACAGGCTGATGGCTGGCAGTACCTGGGACACTGCAGAACCCACAGCTGGTGCCACTGCTCCTTCTGCATGGGGTGTTGTGCGATGGGGTGGACCAGCCACGTCAGCTCTGCATCCAGGTGTTCTGCAGCAAAGGTGGCCATGCCATGCTGTTGCTGTACCCAGAATGTGTCATGGGACAGGAGCCTGGTGCCACGTGACCACTGTGAGTGGGACACTTTGTGGAACAGGTGACTTGTGTGTCACTTCTTCCTTGGCAGTTAGTCAGTGCCAAAAGGTGTCCCAAAGACAGCACTCCGTGGGTAGGAACCAAACTGGCTGCACTGCAGCACACTCTCCAGGACCTGCAAGTCCATCCTGGATTTGAAGGGACAGGGGTTGTCTGCAGAGGCCCAGGGAGCTCCTCTGGGACCCTCTGTGGGAAGGACATGGACATGTCTTACAGTGCAATTCCCTCCTCAAATGCCAGCCACCTCTGCAAGCACAGGGTGCTGCATATTAGCTTCAGATCTATTTGCCTCAGCTCTTTCAAGTGACAGATTTTCGCAATCCCCTCTTGTCTGCTCTAAAAGGAGAAGTAAATCCCGTATCAATGGCAACCACAAGAAGCTGGTATAATTTTGAGTGCATGTTTTCAAAGACGGTGACAAAGATACTCAGCCTTGAAGGATAAGGGTGTGTGGGCAGTTAGGTTTGCTTTGCTTTTATCTTGGACAACACTTTTCAATGCCTGGTGCCTCAGCAGCTGCATTTCTGACCCCGGGGAGTTATGACTCACTGTTTGCAAATCCCTGAGCCACCAAATTGAAGGTATGCCTCACAAAGCACGATCCTAAACTGAAATGCTTGTAGGTGGGTGTTACAGCTTCAGTTACTCTGTTCCAGCACTCAGGGCTGGCTCCATATAGGTGCCCAAATTTCTGGCAAATAGAAATCAGCATCTCTTACCTTGTTTAGATAAGCAGGATCTCTTTGGGCTTCTCTCCTTCAGTGAAGTTCTCAGCCAGTCTGTGAGCAGTCAGGCTACAAAAGAGGCATTATCCCATCTACACCAGCACAATGCCAGCCTAAGGGACATCTGCTCTACCTAACCTGCACTTCTGCCAAATTGCTTCAGACACCAGGGCCATCCCAACATCAGAGCTGGGGCTGGCCTGCTGGAGAATAAGGCTGTCTTTTTTAGCTGCTTTCTGGGTGACCTGTGTGGGGTTAAGTGAGGCACTGGCTGCCATCCTTTCTGTTGGAGTGGATCGGTTCTGCTGGCTCAGCAAAAACCAATGCAAACATCTTATCAAGTATTTCTTAGCAGGAAGGCAGGAAAGCTATTTGTGAGAAGCCCGAGGCCTTCAGAGAAAGGAACAATAACAAATGATCAAAAGATCCTCACATTTCTTTTTTGCTTGATCATTGGTGTTTTTCTTATCAGGAAAGTGATTGCATTCACTGCTGCAGACCAGCGATGTTCACAGAGGGTTAATGCTCCCTTTCTTTGGGTCACACTTCAAAAGACCTGTGATGGGAAGGAATCACCAACAGCTGTCTGGCAGGGCATGATGAGATTGTCTCTGGGGAAGGGGCCACTGCTGACCACCACACACATGCACGCTGAGGTCCATGAAAAGCCAGGCTTGGGTCAGAGGTTTTGATTCAGCCTGGCAGGGACTCAAGGGCTGCCTTTGCAAGAGAAATGTATATCCCAGCTGGCACTTCACAGAGCATCACCCAGGGCAGCCTCTGCCAGCAGGTTACAAAATTTAGTAACCTGGTGAGAAATCTGCATTATCTCACAGCAAGCACTGCTTGAACACAGGGCTCCTGGAGGGAGCAGAAGAGCTGTCAATCTGCAAATGACCCCCTCTTGCTGCTGTCAGTGGGATCCTCAACTTCCTGCTGGCTGTGGCAGATCCTGCAAAACTAAGGCTTTAAAATCCACGTTTAAACTCTACAAGACCAACAGGCTTCTAAGTAAGTACACCAGCAAGTGCTTTCCTTTCCAAAAAGAAGCTGAGAAAGAGGAGTTGCTTCATGCAAAGATGGAAACTCAGTTATTGTACCTTGTGGCCAGTGACAATTCCTCGCCAGGCTTCACTACCACTAAGGACAGGATCATGGCCCAGGGACTGTGCTGTGCTTAGGTGGGTCCTGGCACCACAGGACCTTAAAAGGGTCAGAAGGAAAAATGCAATAGCACTTACAGAGAGATGGGCACTAAGTCCCCCTGCAGTCCCGTGGCACCTGGGCACTGCACCACTGCACACCCTCTCCCTCACCTCTCGTTCTTCACCCCGGGGACAAACCACCTCCTGAAGTGACCCCAGGAGAGGCACTGCACGCCCGAGAGCCTGGCAGGCTGGGGGATGGCGATGACAGCGGGATGACACAGTGAAACCCGCAGATCCCTGCAGCGCGAGGTGCCCGTTACCCACGCAGGGCCGGGCGGCTGTTGCCCATCACAAGCGGCCCGGGGGTGCCGCCTCACCGGGGGCTTCTGCCAGGATCCTGTGGGAGGGAGCGGGACCCTGCCCGGCGTTAATTGATTAATCGTTGTCACCAAGGTGCCCCGCCCCCAGCCCCGCCCCCGCCGGCCCCGCCCCCGCGGCGCCCCCCCCCCCCCCCCCCCGGCGCCCCCTGGCGGCGGCGTGGGGCCATGGCGGGGAGGGGACAGGGCCGGGGAGACGTGGCCGGGGGACAAGGGTGAGGCTTTTTGTCAGCCCTCAGAGCTGCAACCGGCTCCATCGCCCGCTCAGAAGTGGCACCGCTGCCTGCAACTGCCCGCCAGGAGCCTGGCACAGCCAGTCCAGGTCAGGGAGCTCAGCACCAGCCACTCAGGTGCTCCCGCCTTGATTCCAGTGCGGGCTCCTTCATTGCATTTGTCCCGATGTTTTTCTGCCATCGCCACCGACCCTGGGGAAGACGAGCAAATGGAGAGGTGTGGTTCTGTGCCAGGATGCAATTCAGCTGCTGCCCCAAGAGCCACCATGTCCTCGCTCTGCCCATGGCTGGGACCCCCGGCCGCCTCCTCTGGAGCCTGGAAGGACAGCCAGCAGCTTCTCTGCACCCCTGGTTATCCATGAAGGGCAGCATTTGTCTTTTCAAACCAGGACGTGCAGCCCGTCCTGCTCTCTCCTCCTCTTTGACAGTCCACTGAAGGCATTTTCAAGCTGCGGGGCGATGTGAACAGGCCAATCCGGGGTTGATTTGAAGGGGGTGTTGCACTCAGGTCCTGTGTGCACCAGGAAATACTTGAGTGGCAGCCCTGATTACACCCTCATTTTTTAATATAGTTAAACCAGCACTCTTCCCTCTATCCAAAAAGAGCCCTGATCCTGTGACAAAATCCAGACCCACCCCAGCCCAAAGCGAGTCCCCTCGAGTGGACCACGTACCTTGCTCAGGCTCTGCGTTTCAGCTGCACATGTGTAGCAGATTTTTTCCATTTGCAGCCAGTCACTTCCAGCCTATGGCTATTTCAGCTACATTTCTAGGAAGTTTTAAAAACAAAGTTAAAAGTAATTTTTAAAGTGATGAAGTCTCCTTTTTGCTTGAATTTTTTCTTCCTTATTGCAACAACACATCACACAGTGGTCTCACCTCCTTACAAAACTCAGACACTGTGCCATTTTCTTCCAGCAGGTTTTCTCTGTGTGCTTCCCAATGCTTTGTACAATTGCTGTGCACAGAGAGAGTTTTCTTCACTACTTTTTCTGAGTCTTGTCATCTAACATGGAGAGGAAAACAGATTTTTTTAAAAGTAATAAGACATTATTTTAAAGAAAGGTGAGCACTGTAAGGGTGAGGATGTTAACTGCAGATACCTAAAATAACTTGGAAAAAAAAGCCCCTGAGCAGAGTGTGCCCCATCACCACTGTCTCTGTGAAAGCAGGACACATTTCCAGTGCAGCCGACCAAAACACAGGAGTCAAACCCCAGCCAGCCCCCTCCAGGCCCACCACTCCCATGGAAATCACAGGCAAACCCCAAACAAGAATAACTGTGTTTTGCTTGGCAGAGGCTCAGTGTGAGTTATGCTGACTAGCTAAAAAATTAGGTTGTAAAAATAATGAAACTGGAAGACTGTTTTTTCTCTCTTTCCCCAGCTGCTTTTCAAGTGCCTTAGCAAGGCTAAGCAAACTGTGCCATGTTCTCTCTGTGCTCTCATGGCTGGCAACTGCAACACCTCGCTTGGGATTGAATACAGAGAAGTGCCCTCTGCTTCCCACTGGCAGCCAGAAGGCTGTTTGATTTCGCACGGACAGGGTTAAACAGTGAAACACCAACAGAATCTGAAACAGGCAGGTTTTTTCTCAGTCATTAAGACTGAGAGCCACGTGCTTGTGTGTTTTCCAGGATCACTGAGAGATCTGTGTTAAAATCTGCAAGATGTTGCCAGGATGACTTCTGCTACACATCCACAGGCCTGTTTAATATCTCCTGCCCCTGACCTGGGGTTCTCTGAGAGCAACACAATTACCTCATGGTCCCTGCATATTCCTGATGCAAACTTCCTGCTGGTGTGAGGATCACACCAGGATAAATCCTGTTCCCTGCTGCTACAGGCTTCAGTGTGCTCCTGTGGCCACAACCAACCCGCTTCTGCTGGAAAACAACTTCTCCTTCCCTCCTTGAGAACAAATTGCTCTGACAGATGACACAGCTCTGAGTTTGGCATCAGACCTGTAAAAACAGAGGAGCGTAGGGTTTTTCCTGGGGTGCAGTTCTGTCCGTGGCTGATCCTGACAGAGGCATTTGTTAGACCACTCTTGTGCCTCAGCCCTGGCAGACAGCTGGGCTGGCACTGGCTTCACTGTGGCTGTTCCCCTCCCTCTGCTCAGTGGCCCTGAGGGTGACACGCTCTCTCCACAGCACACCAGGAGCTGGGGAATTACACTGGATGGCAGCAGGGTCTGGTAACCTCTCTCATGCTGCTTCCCGACCCACAGCTCTCTGGGACAGTACTGCTGGGGGGGACATTCCTCACAATGAGGGAATTAAAAAAAAAACCCAACACATAAAGAGAGAAAAATAAGCATCTCTGGGCTCCTGGCTCTTGCTGTTGCTTGGCAGCAGGCCTGGGTAGCCAGATCTGCACACAGACGCTGTAGCCTGGGACAATTAGGAAGCAGAGGGTCCCACAGTGCTCCTCACCTGCAGGGAAGCAGCCCATCCCTGCTCAAACACACCCTGCAAGGTGTCCCCAAGCTGTCCCAGCCACCACCACCAGCACACCCAGCCAGGGGCCACAGGCAGCTGTGAATGAACCCATGCATGAACAGCCTGGCACCGCTCACAAGGCAGCGGCGAGAGGGGCCTGCAGAGCCAAGCTCAGCCTTGAACAAGCCCAAAGGCAGCAGCTTTTCAACCTAAAGATAATTTTAGCCTATGTGGTAGGGCTGAAGTCTTGAAGCAGATGCTGTGCAGGCTCAGCATGACTCAATTATCACAATAAGAAATGGATCCAAACACAGGGTTAGCATACAACAGCCTGGTTCAGAGCTCGCTGGGGTCTGAGATGGGTCAGATGCTGAAACTTGCATTTGCCAGCAGGCTCAAATCCAGCCTCTGGGATGAACCCATAAGAGAGCAACCTCTGGCCCAGGATGTGATAAATGAAGCCAAATTATCTCCAGACACAAGGGACATGTGCATTTATTTCTTTCCCTCCTTTTGCCAGGAGAAATTGCCCTGAGGGAAAGAGAGAAATAAAAGCTTGAGCTGCATGTGTTATTAAAGAGGCCAACTGGAGTTCATTTATTCCCTGTGACACACAGAAGGAAGGACAGTGACAGCTGTTCCTAGCAGAGGAACTTTCCACAGAAAACCCAAGCTGGACAACTGGAGGGAGTCCCCAGATGCTGCACCACTGGCCAGCCTTAAATTAGAGGTGGCTGTTTCACTCAGCCCCTCATGTTTCCCACTTGTTTCCCACTGAACATGCCTACTCAGTTCTGGGGCCCCAAAGCCTTGGAGAAGAGGGCCAAGATAAACAGGCTTTTCCTGGAGAGCAGAGGGACCTGGAACACTTCCCTAGCTGAGGAGGTGGACACCCACCCGTGCATCCATGTCCTGCTGTGCTGCTGGAAGATAGCACTGCTGTCACCCAAAACACAGTGACAAAACTACCTGCTTGTACCAGGCCAGCTGCCAAATTCACAGGGCTGGTGCCTAAATAAATCAAAAGGAAATGGAAGTCATTTGCCAAGAAAATTTCCATGATAGGAACGGGAACGGGGGGGGGGAGGGTGTTGAGGGGAGAAAGGGAAGGCCAGTTAAGAAATTACACTGTTTTGAACATATCACACCAGGAGACACTCCATTTTACTTAGCCTTTGCCAAGGGGCTATTTGACTCCAGATCCAAGCACATAATTTAGGAAATCCCCTTCCGATACTTGGCAATCTCAGGCCAAATCAGAGAATTTGCTCTGTGACTCATATTAGGATCTCAAAGAAAGGTCAACTCCTGGATCACATTATGCAAACATGAAAGGTCTGTTGTCCCACAGGGCTCAGAGGCAAAAGCCCTGCTCCGGCAATCATGGCAGACGACATCCGTTCCTCGCTTTTATCTGCTTTAGATGTTTGGGAATAAAGTGTCAATCACCTCTTCCCTGGTCATGTGTTAAACCACTAACATTTTCCTTTCTCCAGCTGTTCTTTAAGTCAGTTCAGGGCTGGTTACCATGCCTTTTGTTGCCTGCAGCACTTCTACTCTGGCATCATCTAGCTGTCAATTATCAGTACTTTTTAGCAGAGGATTTGGGCTCAGCTTAAAATCTACTTGTGTTAAACCTCACCAGCCAGAGCAGTAGCAACCCATGTGCCAAGCCAGAGAGACAAACTATCCCAGTTTGAGGCTCAGGGTAATAAAAGCATCAAACCCCATCCCAGTGCCACCCATCCTGACAGTCCCTCTGTGCCATCCCATGCCGAGCGCTTCTACCAGGATTTACACCTTTGACCCCTTGAAGATGCTGCTGCAGGAGCCCTGTCAGGAACTGGCTGCTGCCAAAGATGGGGAGACAACTGAGTTGCTTCGGGCCGTGGCTGGAGAGGTGGCTGAGGAGCACGTGGAAGTCCTGAGCATCTCAGATTATTTGTTATCGTTGGTTTTTTTGCTCCTTTTCAGGCAAAAAGGTGGGAAACCACAGCAGGGCCCAGCAAGTCCTTGACCAGCCCCGAGGCCTGCGGGCTCATTAGGGGTACGGGCCCAGCGTACCGCGGGAACCGCTGAGCTCGCCGCCGGAGCCTGGGTGCCGGGAAGCTCCGGGACTGTGAAAAGCCAGAGCCATCCCCGGGGCTCTGCAGGAGCGCGCCCAGCTCTTCTCCTTAGGCACCGCAGAAGGCGGGGAGGGGGGACGGGCCTCAAGCGCCCCTGGGCGCCGCCATCGCGAGCCTCCTCCTCCCACTGGGCGCCGCCATCTTGTGCCCTGCCCGTACAGCGCGGGCGCCGCCATCTTGTGCCCTCCCCGCGGTGTGCCGGCCATGGCGGGGCTGCTGTGCCGCCTCCTGCTCCTCTGCCTGGCGGCCGCCGGGACCGGCGCCGAGCTGCTGCTGGAGGAGGCGCGGCGCTCGCTGGACCTCAGCACGCACCTGGCCAAGGTCTCGGCCGAGCTCAGCCTCGCCAACGCGGCGGGCGGCGCGGCCGCCTCCTCCTTCCTGCTGGCGCTGGAGCCCGGGCTGGAGCCCCGCCTGGCCCACCTGGGCGTGCAGGTGAGCGCGGCGAGCGGGGGCCGAGCGCCGCTCCCGGGGGGCCGCGGTGGGGCCGCGGGCGCTGCCCGGCCCCGCGCCCGCAGGGACACGTCGGCACTGCCGGGCCCCGCAGCGCCGCTCCCGGATCCGACAGCGCCGCTCCCGGATCCCGCACACCGCGGGGGGAAGGCGAGGGTGTCTGTGGCAGGGGGCGGCGGAGGCGGCACGGCCTGGGGGGCGATGGGGAGGGCGATCAGAGCCGTCACGGCGGTGCGAGGGTCGCGCCAGCACGGCACGAGCAGGGCCGGCATCTCCAGGGGGGCCCAGTGCTTACCCACGAGCAGCAGGGCTCTCCTAATCCCACAAGTACTGTCAGTGTGTATATCTCTGTATACCATATAGAGGTATATACAGTGATCTGCAGTATATACACTATATCTCTATACAGAGGTCTGTAGTATAACTCTACTGGTCAAGCCGCATTCCCGTGCCCTGCTCGTTCCCCAGACACAAGAGAAATCACAACAGCATTTGACCAGTATTCTCGTTTGCCCAAGTTACTGTGACTGTGCAGGCTTGGGAACCAGGCTGAGAGGAATAAGAATTACCAGAAACCTCTAGTATCTGTTTTTGCTCACTGACCACACTGCAGTTTGTATTCATGAAACCGCTGTGAAAGGGCTTTTTGTTAAATTGTCTTAATAAATTAGTTATATATTCAGCTTATACTTTCTGGAGGGCATCACCCCTAAAAACTCCACAGAGGGACTGTATGGAGTTTGCCCTGGACATATTAAACCTTTTAAACAGCAGCACACTGATCAGTCTGTTTTGGAGCAGGTAAAGGGTGAGGAAGAGGAGGAGAACACCTTGGAAGTGAGAGAGACTAAAGTTAAGGGCAAAAGGTGAGTATCACCTTTAAAGGTCAGTATTTAGATTGTGCACGAGGGTTTCATGATTGTCCCCGTGGTGAAGCAGAAATACCACCCCTGTTCCACATACCTAGAGATCGTAGAGTCTTTTCTTCCTGAAAAGGTCCATTCTGTGCTCAGGCTGCATCCTGGGGTGTTACAGAGGCGGGGAGCATGGTTCACACAAGCAGCCAAACCCAATTCCTGCAGCTCAGGAGGCCCCAGTAGAAGTCACTCCCCTCCTGCTGGTGCTCTTTCCTTGGGAGATAACACATGAGGTTTTAGAGATTTTAGATCTCTGCACTGAGCCCAGCACAGTCATACACGGCTGCTAGTCAGGGGAGCACCCTATGAGGAAGTGAATCTCTCTCAAATGCAACTCAGCTGCCTTTGTGGGGGCTCAGCTGTGCTTAGTCTCTCGTACTCAGTGCCTTGAGTAATGCCCTGGCCCTTTATTAAGGGACACCAGGTGAGAGAAACATTATAGCTGTGGTCATGCTCCTACCCTTTGGTCCCTTTTGAGCTCTCAGAGGGTTGGCAGTGGTGATTACAGGGAGTTTAAGTGCTCTGTGGCTGTGTGCCCAGAGCACCGCTCAGTCTGCCCTGTGGGGAGCATCGCAGTGTGCTGGGTCCTACGGCCCAGCACAGGCTGTTGCCCGCTGCAGGGAGAGAGGATGCTACTGTTGGTATGAGGATCTGCACTGCCAAGCTTGGAATATTGTGCAGATGCTGCAAGACTGGGCAGCGAGGTGGTTTCTGAGCTGTGAGAGCTGAGAGGTAAAGACTGCCTGTAAAGTGGCTCAAAAGCACAGTGCAGCTGGGTTTCAAGAGGGCAGTAGCTGTGGAGTTAAGTTGCCAAGGTGGACCATAGTTTCTGATGTGCCTGGATGCCTCATGTGATCCCGCTCTTGGGCTGCCAGGATTGACATGAAGTCTGATCCTTATGGATTTGGTGAAGTCTAAATCCATTCTGTAGAACCTCAGTCTAAAACCTTGCTAATTTTCTGGCCATTCCTTAATTTTAGATCCTGTGGGCAAAAAACTGAGAATGAACAGACTTTGTGGAAACAGGTGCTGAAGATGTTTGTGAATTGTCTTCTGGACACATACACATGCTTCCTTTGATTCAGATAATTCCTGTCATCTGGAGAAGAACAAAAAAATAAAAGCATGCTTTATAAATGAAGCATGCTTTATAAATGCAGGATCAGGGAGGGAGTGTGTCACCATTCATTCTGCTTCCAAAATGGGAGCCAGGTGCTTTTGTGAAGCAAAGACTGTCTGTGTGCCTGGACACAGTTCACCCTGTGCTGCCTCCCCAGTCCAGAGTAATCACATGTGCTGGGACAAGACATCTGTACATCTTGGAGGAGCAAGTAAAATACTGGCCCAAATCACACATGATACACGTGATACATGGGCTCCCTTCCACAGGGGATTGATCTGAATGCTCTCTCAGGGGAGATCTCACATGACTTACCTGTTCTTCTCCCTTCCAGTGGAAAATTCTTTTCTGTGAAGCTGCCATCTCCTTTGGCACCGGGAGCCAAGATCCGTGTCTCTGTTGAAATGGTTTTCACACACGTCCTGCAGCCCTACCCCACCCACATCACCCAAAGTGAGAAGCAGTTTGTGGTCTTTGAAGGAAATCACTATTTCTACTCACCCTACTTCACCAAGACCCAAACGACTCGGGTCAAACTGGCCTCTAGGAACGTGGAGAGTTACACCAAGCTGGGAAACCCTTCCCGCACTGAGGACATGATTGAGTATGGCCCCTTCAAGGACATTCCTCCATACAGCCAGGTAAATGTCTGTGCAAAGGGATTGTGGCTCTGTGTAGAGCATCTTCCAGATGTGGGAGACATGTCTGAGAGGCTGGAGAGAGGGAAGCAGAGGCCTTTGTGTAAGAATTGCAGGTGAAGCCTGAGTTAGACCACAGGTAGGCCAGGAACACGTGCTCCAGCAAGGTGCTCCTATACAGATGGGATTGCTGACTGCTGCCTGGTGTCCACAGAACAAACTAAGCTGGTATCTAAGTGGCTCTGGCAGGGGTGTGTCAGCAGTGGGGAACACTGCATCTCTGGCCCCCCTCACCTTTATAACACAGCCAAATGTGCAGGTTGTAACCTCTGAGTACCCCCACGTACTCAGTGTGAACTGGGCTGGGTGTCTCAGACCTTCCTGTGCAGTCAGAGTCATCTCTGCAGCATCTGCCATGGAGGGTTCTCTGTGGCACATGGAGTGGATAATTGTGAGGGGACCTTGCTTCTTCCTTCAGGTCTAATAGTTTATCTTGTTTTTTCCCTTGTTAGGACACTCTGAAGGTGCACTACGAAAATAACAGTCCCTTCCTGACCATCACCAGCATGACACGAGTCATCGAGGTGTCCCACTGGGGCAACATTGCGGTTGAAGAGACGGTTGATTTAAAGCACACAGGAGCAGTGCTGAAAGGGCCTTTCTCCAGATACGACTACCAGAGACAGCCAGACAGTGGGATCTCTTCTGTCAAGTCTTTTAAGGTTGACATTTTCAACCTGGTTTGTTTTTTTTTAACTGTGGCTTCCCCCTTTTTACATCCCCAGAAGAAAAAAAAAATAGTTGTCCTTTGCCTTTTCTTTGGTAGCCATACCCCAGTCATAAGGGAATATTAAAGCTCTGATCTGTATTCAGAGAAGGCTCATGCTAGATAGGAATAGCTTTTGGAGGCAGCATTAGGAGGTTATATATTTTATTGCATCTGTTGGCCACACAGACTGCACGTGCCAGGGCATGTAGTGTTTCTCCACGCTTCCACCCCTCCAATCTCAGGGACCCTCTAAACTCCTTATCCTTGTACTGACAGCTCTGCTTTTGGTTTCCTGCTGTGTAAGGGCCATTCATTCTATCCCCACCCTCTTATTTTCAGCGTTACCTTCTCTGCCATATCCTCATCACGTTGAACAGTATTAATTGGAAACTCAGCCATTCATTCCTTGCTCACAAAGCTCTCAACAAGAGTTAAAGCTGTGGCTCTGCTAGCCAGATGTGAAAAGTATTGTGTTTTCATCTGAGCCAAAACCTTTCTCTCTGCTTGAACCCTCCAGGATTGATTGTTGTAATTCTCTAAGGTGGTGCAGCCAAACAGAAATCTCATTTTGCTGAGTGTAAAGCCAGCAAGTCCGGTGAGCTAGGGCAGCAGGCTGGAGTGAAAAGGGAATTGCTGTCCTGGTGGGCATGATGAGATCCCTTGCTGTCTGAGATGTTTGAAACTGGGCTGGAGAGAGCACATTCATTTGGGAGGCCAAGTGATTTTAGTGCTGGGAGCCACTTCTGTGATTGCTTATAATAGCACAGTTTTACCACTCAGTGCAACTGAATGGCCATTTTGTCACGTCTCACGAAGGAGCACAGTTTCTCAAGGCTTAACAGCCAATACTGGTTTTGCTGGAAATTTACTGGTTATTTCACTGGAAATAACTCCTGTCCGATGCACTGACTGTTGCTTCTCTCTGTACAGACCATTCTCCCAGCTGCTGCTCAGGATGTCTATTACAGAGATGAAATTGGGAACATCTCCACCAGCCACCTCCTTGTTCTGGATGACTCTGTGGAGATGGAGATCCGTCCCCGATTCCCGCTTTTTGGGGGCTGGAAAACCCATTACATCATTGGCTATAACCTGCCAAGCTACGAATACCTCTACAATCTTGGTGAGTGGCAAGGGGCAGGGAATAGGAAACCTTCTGCTCTGTGTTTAAAGGTGGTTTCTGTACAATAAAGAATTGAAAGCTGCGGTATGCTGCACCTTAGCAACA